AGCCAACCCCTTGGGGATCGTTTTGGGGGAGGTTATAACCCCTGCCATCGTCAGGGACCCCCAAGACGTGCCCACGAACAACTACGTCTGGATGGGCTTTGCCATCCTCACCCAGTGCTGCACCATCGCTTGCATCACCAGGTGAATATGAATTCATTCATTTCAGCACGGGAAAATAAATGTTTTGAAAAAATATATATATCGTCTACTTGCATCACCAGGTGAATATGAATTCAATTTGGGACGGTAAAATAAATTATTTTAAAAAATATATATCGTCTACTTGAATCACCAGGTGAATATGATTTCAATTTGGGACGGGAAAATAAATTATTTTTAAAATAATAGTCATCTACTTGCAACACCAGGTGAATATGAATTCATTTTAGGCCGATATAAATAAATTATTTAAAAAATATATGTCGTCTAATTGTATCACCGGGATAATATAAATTCATTTTAGCTCGGGAAAATAAACTATTCTAAAAAATAAATAACATTAATAACAATAATGAAAAGTAAACTTAATTGTAATAATCCAATAATCTTTCCCGTAAATAGGTATTCTGTAAAAATTGTATAAAATATTTTTATATTTGACCAAGTAACAAAAAAATTAACAGATCATAATCATCATAAGTTGTTAATAACCTTGTTTTAGATCGGTGATATTTCTGTAATGTTAAATTGCAAAAAAATATAACTCAAAACTCACTGCAGTGAGTGACAGAGAGCGCATTTTCTCGTCGACGAAAACGTGAAATCACGGACAGTCGGACGGACGGACATGACGAGCACAAAATTAATAGCGTCTTTTTAGCGCATTTTCTCATTTATGTAAAAAATGCACTATTGTGCTCGCCATGTCCGTCTGTCCGTCCGCGACTTCACGTTTTCGTCGACGAGAAAATGCGCTCTCTGTCACTCACTGCAGTAAGTACTGAGTTATATTTTTTCCATAAATGAGAAAATGCCCTAAAAATGTGTTACAGGTCGGAGCCCCCCACCCCCGCGAGTCTGAGCTCCTCTGCACAGGGCGGGCAGCCGAAGCTTGGGTACTGGGCACAGCTGAGGGCGGTGATGACGTGCCCAGCCTACCTCATCCTGCTCGCCATGATCGGCTTCGGCGTGGGCTTCTTATCTGCCATGGCCACCGTCACCCAGCAGATGCTGTGTGTAGTGGGTTACTCAACGGTGAGGGCTAACGCAATCAATATTCATTATGCGTGATAAAAACTATTTATTTATGATTATGTGTGGTCATTAGACGTCACCTAGCAGATACTGTGTGTAGTGGGTTACTCAACGGTGAGGGCTCACGTAGCATTCATTATGCGTGATAAAAATTATTTATTATGTGTGATCATTAGACGTTTAAATTATAGAAATTAGAGGGCGCAGACGTGAAATTGTGTTATCATGCGTGACTGAGAGCTAATAAACTTAAAAAATGAGATAAAAAAGTGTGCACCTATTCGGACAATGTTACAAATTAATTTTTCCGAGAGTGAATATTGCCCCCCAGCCATTTCAATTATGAAACTTAATTGGGACCGATGTGAAATTGTGATCTTGTGAAGTGTACGATGTATAACTGTTGTGGTCGTGTTCTTAGTAGGCGATCTTGTTGTATTGAAGATGCATTTTTGGTCACGATGTATATTAATAA